GTTCGGTATCATAACAAAGCATAATAGTAAAGGCAAGCAACAACATCCATTGCATTAAGATAATAATTGTATTACAAACGTGTTCTGTTACAAATTGTTAGACACCAAAAATGTAATCAAAATAAAGAGGAGTCTTGTATGTGCTCCATCTTCTCAAAAGCTGCATCCGTACCTGTCTACTGATGACCTGAGAATACAAGTTATTTTGAAAGAGTTTATCAGCATAAAGCTGGTGAGTTCATAAGTATTTAGTGTCGTTGTTGTATAAAAGTGCTTACAAACTTGTAGTATGAAAACTGAAGTTTATGTTTGAAAATAGTAGAAATCCCTAGAAAATCCTATATTTTCCAGAAAACGTACATTGTAAGTGAAATCCTTTGAGTTGCGTGAAAGTATTATCCTTGAAAATCTTTAGTTGGAAATGTACAGTAGTGAATCCCATTTAAGTAATATAGATAAGGAGAAGTTAGGCCTGTTGACAGTAGTAGTGGTGCAAACTTCCATTAGTAATAGTTACGTACTTACTTCGGGATATTATCTTAGACTTTAGTCTTAGTGTATTAATTTTTTGAGTATATGTGTGACCCTTCATGTGACCAATTGTATAGTAGTAGAGAACCCGATGACCTTCCCGGTCATACGTAGTGTAGTGAAGTAGTGCCACCCCCGGGCCTGGTCGGCTCGGACTGTAGCTAACAGTCGGGATGTAGTAGTATCCGCCCCGTATAGATCTATACGTGTAGTGTTGCCTTCCTTTCGGAAAGCCCTGGTCACATGGTATAAGTGCAGTAGGGTGTCTTATAGAGAGATAGCGTGTCATACTATGGGTTAGTGTATTCTCGTGTACTATAGTATTCTCTTAGTATGTAGTATTCTCTTCGTATATAGTATTTAGCATGTATTAACTCATAATTGTATTGACTCTGGTAGTTTTCATAGCAATAGTATTACCGAATAGTAATCCTTAACTATACCTATTATAGTTAAATAGTAATGTCGGTTGCATGCCTTTATTACACAAAGGCACTGAACTGAGATGAAGACTTTTATATCTAACACAAATATATGTGATATATAACTAAGAATTCAACGACAGTCGGACTAATAACAAGATACCCTAAGACCACAATCAAACAAGAACAGGAAGTAAGGTGAGCTATTAGTCCTAAGTCCTTCAAGTCTTACTTATATAAATATATTGGCGAAGATATGGTTTTGAAAATATAAAGAGTTTAAAAATAGTTTGGAAATAGTTTTAGAACAGTATATCATGAGAATGAGTTTAGTAATCATTTAAAACAATTTGGTTGACAAAGCAGTTGAAAATATAGAAAATCCGTTTTGGTTGTAAGTTATAAAATCACATGTGATTGATTTTATAACTCATCTGATTCAACTTGTATTTCCCCCCATAAAACTTAGTAAAATCATTTGAAATGTTGATTAAGTGGTATCAACTCACCTGTTGTGATTGGAGTGGATGGAATTGCCGGTTAGGATACTAGGTATCAAGTGAGGACTTGACCGCACACACGGATCCTAAGTGACATATAGTAATGTATAAATGTATCTAATTAGTTATTTTATCACCAAATAAGTAAGTAAAGACACTCTAGGGCATGAAAACACTTTGCTTCAAGTGCTAGGAGTGTTATAGGTTGCATCTAAGGAGTGTATGGTCTCGCTATGGAGTTTACACTTCAAATGGTCACCTTAATGTGTGTTTACGGTTGAGAGACCAATTCCTCCATGAGTTTACGGCCGTAAACTCATGGGGATGGTGAGTTTGTGTGACTAAAGGTCTCTTGCATCACAAGGAAGGCTTCTAAGGTCAATTCAAAGGATTGGGAAGTGCTTAGGTTTCAAAAGGGTACTCCCTTGGAGTTTACGGTCCTTGGACCACTCCTTGGGAGTTTACGGCCGTAAAATCTAGGGTTTACGGTCGTAAACCCTTGGTCACAACATTCCTTCCATGTTTTGGGGTCCTAAGCTCATTTCTACAAGTTTCTAGTTCATTACAATTTTTAAGGAAGGGGTTAGGGGCACCAAAACACCATTTGAGGTGTTTACGGTTTGGGTTTACGGTTCATGAACCGTAAACTCATGTTTACACTTCTTTGGACATGTTTTAGGGTTCTAAGGTCATTCAAGCAAGTTTCAAGGCCATTAGACATGCATTGGAGGGGTTAAGGGGCATAAAAACCCTACTTTAGGGTGTTTACGGTTCTTGAATGTTCAAGAACCGTAAACTCGTGTTCATGGCCAAAAGACAAGATCTTGGGGTCCTTAGTCCATGCATGCAAGTATCTAAGCCATATCTAAGCATTAGAGGAGGTTTGTAACGGTTTTGGGGCTTCAAAACCCTCTTGAAGGGAGTTTACGGTTTTGGGGAGGCTCCCCAAACCGTAAACACATGCATGTTGGGGGTTTGGATGATTCAAACTCGAAAATGGCATGAACACTAAGTTAAACAACAAGTTAGGAAGGTTACCTTTGATTTTTGAGGCTTGAATGGGGTATTCTTGAGCCAAAACCCGATTTTTAGAGAGAGAGAGAGGGAGAGAGTGTGAGTGTAGAGAGAGAAAGTTCAAGGTGGGAAAAGATTCAACATGTGCCCACTCAACCTTTATATAGGTCTTGAGTTAGTGGCCAGGTGGGGGCTACACCCAATACTGGTGTTAAACGGAGTTAAATGTTTTACCCGGTTAAATGTTCGTAACCCGACTTACTCGTTTCTATTCCATCATTTAATAAATTATCTCAATAACTCAAAATGAATTATTTAACTAAAAGTGAACGGAAAAATAAAATAATAAATTTTATTAACGGAAACGGGTTACAGTGGCGGAGTAAATTTCAGGTTGTCACATCATCCCCCCGTTAGAGGGAATTTCGTCCCGAAATTTAGAATTCAAGTAGTTATGATACTACAACACCACTAAGCAAAGAGATGAGGGTATTTAAGTTTCATTTGATCCTCGCGCTCCCAAGTAAACTCCGGTCCTCGATTGGCATTCCAGCGAACCTTCACAATTGGGATGCGGCTTTGTTTCGTTCTTTTGGTTTCCCGGTCCATAATCTCCATAGGTTCTTCCACGAAGTTGAGGCTTTCGTTGATTTCGATCTCGTCGAGTGGGATTACGAGAGTCTCGTCGGATAGGCACTTTTTCAAGTTTGAGACGGGAAAGATAGGATATACGTTACTAAGCTCGCGGGGTAGATTGAGTTTGTAAGCTACGGGGCCGATTCTAGCGAGAATCTCGAAAGGCCCTATGTATCTTGGATTTAGCTTTCCACGCTTTCCGAAGCATATCAAGCCCTTCCAGGGTGAGACTTTCAAAAGGACTCGGTCTCCAACCTGGAATTCCAAGGGTTTTCTTCGTTTATCTGTGTAGCTTTTCTGTCGATCTCTAGAGGCTTTCAATCGTTCGCGAATCTGAACGATTTTCTCTGTTGTTTCTCGAATGATTTCCGGACCCATGAGAGTGCTGTCAGGAATTCGTCCTTTAGCCAACTGAGTGTCACCCACCTCGGCCCAGCACAGAGGGGATCTGCACTTCCGGCCGTAGAGGACTTCGAATGGAGCAGTTTTGATGCTTGTGTGATAACTGTTGTTGTAGGAAAACTTGACAAGGGGTAAGTGGGTATCCCAAGCCTTACTGAAGTCGATCACACAGGCTCGCAGCATGTCTTCCAGAGTTTGAATGGTCCTCTCACTCTGTCCATCTGTTTGAGGGTGGTAGGTCGTGCTCATATCTAGCTTAGTTCCAAGAGCCTTCTGTAGTGACTGCCAGAATCTCGAAGTGAATCTGCTATCACGATCGGATATGATGGACACAGGCACACCATGTAGTCGGACTACTTCTTGGATGTAGATTCGCGTGAGTCTCTCCATTTTGAAATTTTCCTTGATAGGAAGGAAGTGAGCGGATTTGGTCAATCGGTCGACAATTACCCAAATGGCGTCGTACCCATTCGGAGATTTGGGTAGTTTGGTAATGAAATCCATAGTGATCCTCTCCCACTTCCATTCTGGTATCTCTGGTTATTATAGTAGACCTGAGGGTTTCTGGTACTCGACTTTGACCTTAGCGCAAGTAAGACATTTACCTACGAAGGTAGCGATTTCCGCTTTCATGTTAGGCCACCAGTATGACTTCTTGAGATCCAGATACATCTTATCTGAACCCGGGTGGACAGAGTATCGAGTGTTGTGTGCTTCCCTCATGATCACGTTTCTGAAACCACCATGTTTCGGTGTCCAGATCCGGTCCATGAGATATAGGGCTCCGTCATCCTTGGCTTCTAGGTTCTTATCCATTCCTCGCAGGGATTCTCCCGCCACATTTTCAGGTTTCAAGGCTTCGAGCTGAGCCTCCTTTATTTGTGCGAAGAGGTGCGAATGGATAGTCATTGTTAATGACTTGAATCTTCGACCCGAATATTCTTTCCGACTTAGAGCGTCTGCTACTACGTTGGCTTTACCCGGGTGATAACGAATTTCGCATTCGTAGTCATTGAGTAGCTCAACCCATCGTCGTTGCCTCATGTTGAGCTCCTTCTTGTTGAAGATGTGCTGGAGGATTTTGTGATCGGTATAGATGGTGCTCTTCGTACCGTACAAATAGTGTCTCCAGATCTTTAGGGCGAACACGACCGCCCCTAGCTCGAGGTCGTGGGTGGTGTAGTTGACCTTGTGTGTCTTCAGTTGTCTCGAGGCGTAGGCGATGACCTTACCTCTTTGCATCAGGACACAGCCAAGCCCCTGGTTGGATGCATCGCAGTAGACCACGAAGTCTTCTGTTCCCTCGGGGAGGGACAGTATCGGTGCGGTGCATAAGGCTCGCTTCAGGGTTTGGAATGCCTTCTCTTGTTTCTTTTTCCAGTCAAAGGTTACGCCTTTTTTAGTCAACGTCGTAAGAGGCTTCGCAATCCGAGAGAAATTCTGAATGAACCTTCGGTAGTAGCCAGCGAGGCCTAGAAATTGACGAATTTCTGTA